GACAGGATATTTGCAGAATCTCAGAATATCTCCCTACAAAATATTTATCAGGTTCAAAGGAAACAATGGTGATTTTCTGGTGGAGGGAACTACTTGATCAGATGAGCAAAATTCTCATTACATTGGTGTGAAGAGTTGACATCATGAGCCCTTGATGAGATGCACAGAGAACCCAGCCTCATTTTTGTGTTTTTTTCTTGTCCAAATGTATGTCTGACCTGAGTCTAGTCATGAGGAACACTGCATAGACCCAGTTCATGATCATCCTACAGAATGAAAGGCCTGTTCTTTTTAGGACTATCAAGGTCATAAAAAACAAGGAAAGACAGAGGAATTGATGGGAATCAAAGAGACTAAAAATACATGCAGTTAAATTCAATGTAACTTCCTGGGTAGGATTTTGGACTAGAAAAGGAAAAGAGACATTGTTCCAGAGAGTGAAAATTTAATTGTATCAGTGTTGATTTCCTGATGTGAATGGGGCTCTGTTCTATAGACATACACACTGGATATTTAGGGGTCAAGTTTGTAGTTTTCTGTCAGAATGTTCATAAAAACACTCAATAACAACAACAAAACCATATACTGTATATAGATATATAGAAAGCAAAAGCAAATGTGGAAAGATATTAACAATTGGGAAATCTGTGAGAAGGGAATATAGGAGTTCTTGCAACTTTTCTATAATTTGAAGCTATTTCAAAATAGATAAGATACAAATAAATATTCATATTTAAAATAAACATGAAAACTTGCTCACACAAAAACTTGTACACAAATATTCATAGCAGCTTTACATACAATAGCCAAAAAGTGAAAGCAATAAAATATCCATAAATTGGAATGGATAAACAAAATGTTGTATAACCATATGATGTAATATTATTTGGCAATAAAAGTATTGATACATACTACAATGTGGATGAACTTTGAAAAACACTGTGCTCAGTGAAAGCAACCAGTCACAAAAGACCACGAATTGTACAATTCCGCTTACCTGAAATGTCCAGAAGAAGAACATTCACAGACACAGAAAGTAGCCTAGTTGTTGCCGGTGGTTGAGGAGAGCAGGGAATGGGGGGCAGTAATTGCTAATTCACATGGAGTTTCTTTGGCGCTAAGGAAGACATTCAACAGTAATTGTGGTGATGATTGCACAACTCTGTAAATATATTGCAAACCACTGGTGGGTAAATTTGATAGTATGTGAAATATATCTCAATACAACTTTATAAGGAAAACATGTCACATATGTACACATAACATAAAGACATAAAGTTTTCTGGGCACACAGGCAGACTGAAAAGGAAGGAACTTTGAAAATCTGTACTAAGCAAGAAGAGCCACTACATGAGTAGTTCCACCAGGGATCAGGGCTTCCCTTCTGTCCATTAGGCCTTGTCTCTCGCACTAGGTCCCACATTCCCTACAGTACAGGAGGCAGAATAATGTGAAGATTACAAATCTAGCTCTACAGCCAGATTGCCTAGGTTTGAATCCAAATCTACTATACCCTATGTGATAATGAGCAAATTACTTAACTTCTCTGTGCTCTGTTGTAAAATAGGGATGCTCGATTGGATTGGAGTGAGGAATAAAAGACATAATCCATGAAAAGTGCTTTCAAAAGTGTTATTTATTGGAATTCATTAGAAGTTGACTATGGTTCTTTTTTTTTTTTAGCTTACTTTTTGAGAGAGAGAGAGAGGGAGAGAGAGAGAGAGAAAATGAATGGAGGAGGGGCAGAGAGAATCCCAAGCAGGCTTCAAGCCATCAGAGCCTGATGCAGGGCTCAAACTCACAAACCATGAGATCATGACCTGAGCTGAAATCAAGGGTCAGATGCCTAATTGACTGAACCACTGAGGCTCTCCAGGAGACATCTGTCTTAAAAAGGCTCCAATCCATTTTACCTGTTCATTTCTCTGACATCATTTCCCTATTAAAAAGCTCCTACAACCAATCAGACACAAGCTTGATATAATTCTGACCAATATGTCCTATGGTTCCCAGAGGCTACCCCTACTCTCTGATGGTCATTCTCTGTGCTCCATTTTCCCCTATTCATTGTAAGAACTGAGTCAGGGAATGAGAATATGCCTCAGGGAATGTTGTTTTCAAAGGCCAGTGTCATTGCTATTATTCTTTCATGCTGTTACATATTGCAACAAGCACCTTGGTTTCCTGTCATCCTGTAGACTGGACAAGCAGATGGGAGCCTAATCATGAGAGCTGATATTAATTTCATGCTAATAATGTGTCAGCCATGGTACATGATTGCTTCATTTCATCTTCATGCAATCTCCATCTTGTAGACTATTATCCTTTGTCACATGAGGAAACCGATGACCAGAAAAGTTGTCAAGGCCACACAGGTCCTAAGGGATGGAATGAAGATTCTAATCAATTTCTCTGTGTCTTCAGATTCTATTCTCTTAACCACTGTGTTGTATTGCTCTATCCTCCCCAGAACAGGAAAAAGCTTGCAGCTAAGGTCCTATTCCAGGGTAGCCAAAAGAGTTAGAGGTCAGAAATTATGTGTTAGATATATCTGTGTCCTAAGTGTCTAGGACATTGCCTGACACATGATAGGAGTTCAGATTTTTGTCAAACTGCTCAACTATGCAGTGGGACATCACCTTTCAAATGGAATTAAATGAATCCATTGCATGCAGAGTCCTGCTTCTACTTGCAGGAAAATTAGAGGGTTTGGAAGTCAGAGGGATCCTAGTTAGAATTCTGGTTCTGCCATTTGGTAACTTTGTGACCTTGGACAAAGGCACCTAATCCCTCTGAGTCTTGAATCTATAATCTGGAAAATGTAAAAAGTAGGTAAAAATAATACTTTATGGTATTGTTATTCAGATGGAATGAAATAAAGGTGCAATGTTAAACATATAGTTAGATACTCAATAAATGATAGCTATTATTATTGCCCCCTCATCCTTTCTTCCAAACAGGCCTTTGTGAGAGGTCAACTATATGTTGGTTCCCAACTTAAATAAGCGGAGCAACAATTGCAATTCAAAGTGGAGTAGTAGAAATAGCACTGAATTAAGAATTGGGAAATCTGGCTTCCAGCATTTTTCTTTTTTCTTCTGGCTTCTGACTTTTGTTGTCCTACTTCTAAGTAGCAGCTATGCAACCTTGGTCAAGTCACTTTATTTGTCTGGGGTTGTAATTCCATGCCTCAAATTAGAGTCGATCTCTGAAGTCGCTAGGATCCTCTTAATCTACATGTCTGAGACCCTTTAAGAGATTATGTTGAGGAAGTATTACCCTTGGTTTTATCATTTTAAACAGGTTATATGGGTAACTGGAAAACATATTCACTAACTCATTTTAGAGTTACATGTTCATTTATTTGAAACTTTATGAAGCATACTTCCTCCCCAAACCGTAGAAATTTGGTGAAAAGCTACAAGACTCAAATCTACCACCTAGCGGTGAAGAAAAGAATATTCAGACTGAAGATAAGATGGTCTGCCATCCCACGTGCAGGGTGCCTGTCCTCAGCAAGTTTTGATCTCATATTGTCCTCTCCCCTCACCACTCAGGATAGTTTTGTGTTCACAGAAATTCAGTATTTCCTGACTTAATAGTTTGTTCATTTTACAATACTCTTTAGCCAATGAAATATCGTGGGCTTTTGAAAATTGTGGAATAATCATTGGTGTTAGATTTGGGGAGCAGTGATGCCATTCTATTCATACATCTCAAACCAGTTCTACTCAAGAGTCCCAACCAGTCCATCTCTTTACGGACAGACACGATATTCCACAAGTGCTTGGTTCAAGGAACCAGGACCACTACTTTGAAACGACACAAATCAATACACAATGCAATTCTTGCCAGCAAGTATTTACTGACTTTGTTTTACCTACTACAGTAATTAAAATTAAGTCTTCGCGTTTAAATTTAAATATCTAAAAGCAGGAATGCACCATCCTTAAACTTAAACCCCAAAGGTGAGGAGGGGGCCAGAATCCTAGAGTATTGGGCTTATTGGTAAAGAGGGATCTATTTTCCATTTTTTCTTTGCTTTTCTATTCAGCCCCCATCTCCCTCCGCTTTCTCCTTTCGTTCCATTTTCTCTTTCTTTCCCAAATAACAGGTAATTACGATCAGAATTGTTTAAATGGAACAGGTAGTGCCCTACCGGGGTGACTTAATTTCAGGTTTTCACCTGAAAATCCCTTTCGTCATTGAAAATATTTCTCGAGCCTTTCTTAAAATATGGAATTATGCCATTTTCCAACACTCTGCTATAAGTATTGTTAATTTAGCCTTCTTTTGAAATACTATACTCACTTTAGTACAATTTTCTTAAACCTCTTTCCACACACGCAGGAGGGGATCCGAATATGCAACTTTGAGAAATTCCGCTTATGCCTTGCTAGTGGAAACCTCCTAGTCATTCGTTTAATTTAAAACCCCTGGTTTTCAGGGATTCCACGGGCATCCGGGCATTTATTCTTAACTCGGCTTCTTTAAACAGGCTCCCGAGAGGAGCAGTTTCAGTCGAGAAGTTTAGAGAAGCAGTTACCACGGAACTCGCAACAGTTGGTGTCGGGCGATAGGCAGGTTAGAAATGATAGCTGGGGCTAGTTTAAGATACATAAAGTCCCGGGAAGGGAGAGGAAGGGGTAGCCGTGGCCTTGGGGCACAGTGAGGAGGCGGTGCAGGGTCGCGGTGGTGGCAGGGGGTAGGGTGGCGCGAGCTCCTGCCCCCGGAAGGAGCCTTCCTGGGTTGCCAGAGCCGGCGGCGGCTGCGGCCAAGGAACTCAAGGACCGCAGTCGGGCGTCCGCGCCAAGCCGATCGCGGGACCCAACGCACTGCCAGACCGCCCCCGGGATTACGCCGGGGCCACAGGGAGGTGAGGCCGGCCCTGCCCCCGCACCGCCCCCGGCGGGAGGCGGGACGCCCAGGCCGCGGGTGCGTGCGCGGCCCCGGGCGACGCGGCTGGGCGTGCGCGGGGCCGCGGCGGAGGCAGGGCCGGGCGGGCGGCAGAAGATGGCGAGGGTGTGTAGGCGGCAGCAATGCTCCGTTGAGAGACGCGGCTTTCGGCAAGAACTGGACTCGTGGCGCCACAAGCTCATTCACTGTGTAGGTGAGACCCTCCCCCTGCCGCCTCCGGCCCTCGGGCCGCCCCGCCACCGGCTGCCCCGGACAAGGGAGGGAGCCGGGACAGAGAGAATTGCTGCTCCGGCCCGCCCGCCCTCTTTGGCTCGGGCGTCCCCCTCCCCCACCCCCCGGAGTGCGGGCGCGCGCGACCTCAGGGCGGGCTCTCCCCCGCTCCGTTCTGAGCGCGCGCGCCGGCCCCTCCCCTCCGCGCGCCTTCCCCGGGGCGGGCACTCGGGCGGGAGCGCGTGCCCCTTCCCTCCCCCGCCTCCCCTTTTCCCCGCCCGGCGGCCCGGCGCCGCCGCGGGCTTATTGTGGAGACTCGCCCCGCGGCGCTGCCACTTGACTAGGGGCGCCGCCTCCGGTGCCGCGGAGCCGGGCGCGCGGGAGGGGGGCGGGGGCGTGCTGGGTTCTGGCTCAGCCCGCTTCTCCGCTCTGTTCCGCGCCTTTCCCCTCCTGCGCTTCCCCTCCCCCATTCACGGCGGCGCGCGCCCCAGTCCCCGCGTGCACGCGCGGCGGCGGGCGGGCGCCAGTCGCTCGGGCGTGTGCGAGGCGTGAGGCGGAGATGGGGGCGGAGGGAGCCGGAGCTGTCACAGGCCCCGGGTCCGCCTGACCGAGCCAAGTAGGGTGTCATGGCCGCGGGGGGCAGCGGCTACACTTCCTCTGCGGGCGGCGGCGGCGGCGGCGGCCGGGGAGTTAATCCTCGACGCTCGGGTCGGTGTGTGTGTATTTGTGTTCGATGTATGCGCGGCGGGGAGGAAGGGGGGTGGGACCGGGTCCGACCGGGAAGCCAGAGCGAGGGTCGCTCTTGTCCCCTCCCGGGGGATGTGCTGGAGCCGCCGCCTCGCCGAGAGCCTCGCCGCACCCCCCCTCCCCTTCGCGCCCCTGCCTCCCAAGCCTCGGGTGGCTTTTTCCCCACGGGCAGGAGGGAGTGTGGACGGGGACGCCCCGGGAGGGGCCGGGCGGCCGAGCTGCGCCTCTCACACTGTGTGTTTTGTCTGTTTTTCTCTCCCAAGGTCCCGTTTCCCTCTGTGCGGCGGCCGGCGGGACCATAAGGGCTTAACTCATATATTTAACCCCCCTCCAAAAAGTAAGTGGCCCGTGTGGTGTCTCCGCTCCGCCCGCCGCCCCCTAGCCTCAGTCCATCCTTGTGTCTGACTCTCCTGTCCTCCAGCATTGTTATTTCCCCATCTTTGCTTCGGTGCTGCTGCTGTGTGGGGAAATGCTCTCTCGTGCTTCTCCGTCCCCCAGGCCCAGTCCTCTGGGAGGCCCAGAATTCCAGCCCCTTCCTCCCCTTCTCCCGTGGGGAATATTCTTGGGAACCAGGTCTTCCACAGCAGAATCTAGGAGATTCTGTCCGTTCGCTTGGGCCCCTCATCCCCTCCTTCCCGACAGGGTTTCGTTGGAAGGAATTATGCAAATCCTGCTTTCTGGTGTCCATTCAGCGGCAATTTCATGCGGTGAGAAGTTCTCTTTGTTGTGCGAGGGGGAGAACAGACACTGATTTAATAGACATATCTATTGGGGGGAAGGGTGGAGGGGGTGTGGAGAGGCTCAGTTTGGAAGAATTACAGCACTTGGTTAGCCCAGTGTCTTTGTGTTTGAGCTTTCTGGTTTGACAGGAGGGTATGTCCTTTACAATGTCCCATAAGAGATGTTTTCTGTAATAGATTAAAAAGCAAAACTGAAACTTTAAGTAAGTGGAACATAAGGTAACCTTTACCTGGGGAATGTAAGCCCTTCCATTTCTGCAGTGTTTCAGTATAAAGATGCATGTGAATTTCGTTAAGAATTTAGACTGCAACATCAAAATTAACATAGGTAACAATGAGTTAAGGTATCTGATATCACTTTGGTTGTCCACTGTTTAAAAGTACATCTTAAAACATGCTTGTCTAAGTAATGAAGGCACGAATCAATTTTTTGGTGTAATTTGACTTGTGGATGTATTTTAAAATATCCCTCCTGCCAGTGCAAGCCTACCTCTGCCCTCTAGAAAGCCTTTTGGTTATCAGTTATCATCTATTCTACTCTGTCTCTGCTTGTATTTTTTCAAACCCATCATACGTTTGCTAAAATTTTATACCAGAGTAGGCACTTTTTGAATTACTTACTGTAACCATATGAAAGAACTTATGAAAGGCATGTGGCTTTTGAGAAGCGTGAAATTAATGAATTTTTGGAATTGTGAATATAAAATCTTGAAATCATTTTGAGGAATTTTTAGTTCATCTTTTTGTTTCACTTTTTATGTGATTTTTTTTTCCAGTGGGGCTTTTTAGTTTTTAAGAGATTTTGAAATTGACTATAACCCTGTAGGTTTCTTAAGTTATTGTTACTTTAGATGGCTATAATGAGTTGTTTATCTTATTCTAATTCTGTTTGCTCTGAATCCTTGCCTTCTGCCCCAGGCCCCCCTTTTTATCAGTTAGTTATTGCTAGTGTTTGTGGTTACTTACTGCTGCTTGAGAGGATTTTTTTTTTCCTTTTAATGACAAAGTCTGATAAATATTTGAATTGAATATCAAATTTTGACTCATGTTTTGAAGGAGGGTTTTAATCTGGACATCAGTTTCCTTAAAGCATACTTTTAAATCCAAATTTCCACTTTCAGTGTAGTAAAGTTCAGGAGATACTTAAAGTCCAGAGTGCAGAGCAGTAATACATAGTTGATAGTCTCCCAGCTAAAATCAATTGGGTTTCATATTTTCATTTTTATTTTATGTAATTGCTTTAAGAGGAGAGTTCTAAGTAAATCAATGTAGTGTTAACTTTCTATACTTGAAAAGGCCAGCAGTGATTCTCAATGCAAAAGGCAACTATTTTGTCACTAGCAACTCTAAATTTCTCGTTTATTTTAATGAGATTGGTTCTGAACAGTTAACCTTCTATGTGATTCTGTTGACTGATTATCTTAGCACTTTAGGGTCATTTGGTTTCTAAATTAATATGTAGCAGTCTTTGGATTAAAAATGAATTCTCATTTATTTCCAAAATCTAATTTTTCTATTTTGGGAGGCTGTTTGGTGGGGTGCAGTGAGATTGTGGAGGTGTTTTGTTTCCATTATTAGGTTTCACTTGTATTGGAATTAGTAGCAGTTTCAGACAGTGATTATGATCAAAATGGATATTTGGTAACCAAGTGATTATTGAGATGTCCTCTGGGACTGTGGCAGTCCATATTCCAGGAAGATTGAGGTTCTCTCTGCTGCTTGGTGTGATGTATTGCTTGGCTGCTCCTCATCCTTGCTGTATTCTCTAAAAGCTCTTTCCAGTGTAGGGAAAGTTTTGTTGATTTCAGCTGAGCTCTAGCTTAAGTCTTTTTAACTGACAAAGAGTCATTTCAGATTGTCCTGATTCCCTCAAATGTGCTTGTAGCTGGAGCAATTCTAGGAATCATCTGAATAATGCCATTTAAAAAATTTTTTTTTTAGCTTTATGGGGCTACACTGGATGGCCTGTAATTTCTTTCAGAGAATTAAGTATTCATTGTCGTGGGGACTTGCCACTTCCAAGCACCCACCTAATTCCTTAGCTACTTGTATTACTGCTGTTTTTAGGAATGAAAGGCAGTTAGGTGAGTACTTACTTGATTTAAATTTGTACCTGGCGCTGTGGGTAGACAAAAGTACTGGGTAAGTTATCCTAACCTTCAGGAGCTTTTAGTACTTACAGAAGATCTAGCGTATTCATAATACTACAAAGCAAAATGTACTATTCTGTTGTACAAGCATGTGCTAGGAGTGTTTAGAAGTGAAAGATATCTCTTGAGTTGATATAGGAAGGCTTTATGAAGAAGGTGGCATATTTTTGCTTCATTTTGATGAATATGAAAGAGGCATTCCCTTCATGAGAAACCAGCAAAAATGGCAAAGGATGAAAATGAGTTTAAACTGTTTGTCTATTTAAACTACTGTCCATGATTCACATGTAGGGGATGTATAGGTGATAGGCTTGCAAAGGTAGGTTGTAAGATTTTCTATTTCTACTGCTGGTTAAAAAGTGGGGTCTCTTTGTTAGACACCTCGGAGTTTATAATACATTTCTCTCCTTAGCTCAGGGGACAGTGTTTCCTTTATTTGAGGATTCCATTGTGGAACTCAACAATGACATACATTGTGTTTTAAATCACCTTGACAGGGATGATATTGTTATCCAAAACAGTGTCCCTTCTGCGTAAACTCATTTGGAGGCTATACTTTATTTCATCACACAAAACCTATTTTTGGAATTGCCTAAAATCAGTGGTGTGTGTATGCTTTGAATATCCTTACTGTTGAAAAATTTTCATTCTTGGAGGTTGCATTTGGTATTTGGAAACAGTTTAAAACCTTTTTTTGGAGCAAACAAAGGTGTATGCAAAATAATGAAATTGATTTTCTTTCCTGGTTTGCAAACTGGCTATGAAGCTCAGCAAAGGGGTTTGATTTGTTTTGTTATGCCTCGGAACTACTCCCTTGATTATTTTTATTTTTTAAAAAAATTTTAATGTTTATTTATCCCTGGGGGAGAGGGGTCAGGGGATGCAGAGAATGAGGGGGAGACCCAAAATCCGAAGCAGGCTCCAGGCTGTCAGAACAGAGCCCGATGCAGGGCTCAAACACTCATGAACCATGAGATCATGACCCAAGCCAAAGTGGTATACTTAACTGATTGGGCCACCCCAGATGCCTCTTGATTCTTAATTCCTTTATGTCTACACATCTGCTATATGGAATCTGGATATTGGGTGGATGTAAATAAACAAAGCTGTTGTTTTCGTAGTTTCAGGTTAAAATTTTACTATTACTATCCTCCAAATTATCTTCCACTCTTTGTGAATATTTAAAAAATCTTATTACTATTCCTTACAGTTGAACATTGCTCTTGGGATTATTTCCGAGTGAACTATTATTTTATTGATTGTCTCTTGTATGCAGGAAGTATCCCAGTACAGTGGTCCATACCCTGAATTTTTTTTTTCAGTTGACATGTAATTTATGGACCATAAAATTCACCCTTTAAAAGTATACAATTCAATGAATTTAGTTTATTCAGTACATTGTGCAAACATCACTGATTCCAGAACACTTTTCATTACGCAAAAAAGAAACCACATACCCATTAGCAGTCATTTCCCATTCCTCCTTTGCCCTAGCTATTGGCATCCCCCAGTCTACTTACTGTTTCTGTGAATTTGCTGATTCTGGACACTTAATATAAATGTAATCATACAATATGTGGCCTTTTGTGTCTGACTTCTTAGCATGTTTTCAAAATTCATTCATGTTGTAGCAGGTATCAGCACTTACTTTTTATGACTAAATAATCTCGCATTGTATGGACAATACTATGTTTATCATTTGTCAGTTGGGCATTTGAGTTGTTTCCCCATTTTGCCTATTATGAATTAACGTTGCTGTGAAAATTTGTTTTCACTTTCTGGGGTGTGTACCTAAGAGTGAGATTTCTGGGTCATATGAAAACTTTAAATTTTTTGAGGAACTGTCAAACTGTTTTCCAAAGCAGCTGCAGTATTTTACATTCCCACCAGCAACATAAGAGGATTCCAGTTTCTTCACCCCCTTGCCAACACTTGTTATTGTTTGTCTTTTTGAATATAGTTCTTGTATTGGGTAGGTCTCAAGTGGGATATTGTGGTTTTTATTGGCATTTCCCTAGTGACCATTGATAGTGAGCATTTTTTAAAGCTTCATTTAGAGAGAGACAGAGAGCATGAGTGGGTGGGGTGGGGTGGGGGGAGAGAGAGAGAGAGAATCTCAAGCAGGATTTACACTGTCAGAATGGAGCCAGATGCTGGGTCTGAACTCACAAACCATGAGATCATGATCTGAGCTGAACCCAAGAGTTGGACCCTTAACCAAAAGAGCCACTGAGGCACCCTGAGCATTTCTTCACATGCTTGTTGGCCATTAGTATATTTTCTTTGGAGAAATGTATATGCAGATCTCTACCTCATTTTAATTTTTTTTTAATATATTTATTTGTAGGAGAGAGAGAGAGAGAGAGACAGTGTGAGCAGGGGAGGGACAGAGAGAGAGAGATACAGACTCTGAAATAGGCTCCAGGCTCTGAGCTGGCAGTCAGCAC